TACCTTAAAAATCAAAATCTGACACGGGTATCCCTTAAAGTCACTTTTGACTACATTTTTTCCCAAAGGAGTAGGTCAGGGACAAAATAGTGATTTAATTTGACAATGACTTAACACGTCCAAGTTTGTTAATTGGCAATAAAACCTGAACAAAATATACATGAAACCATATCAGTGCTTTAGACAGAGCCCCAAGGTTCAGAAACCCATTGAGGGCACGGAACGTGGGGTATTAGATGGGTGGATGAATGGATGCATACTGTATTGATCCCAAAAGGATAAGATAGATGCTTTAGACAGAAATTGCTGCAGTTATGTTTCAGAAAATCATGTTCTCATCTCACCACTTTTGAATTAATTTAGCATTTATCTCAGACATGTAGATAGCATACTACACCACAAGAAAAAGTTGATTATCTCCAATCTGACTATAATTATGATGAGGCAGATGGAAGGGTAGATATGTTGTCGACTTGGTTGCAAGGTAAAGTCTACGAAAGTTGCTCCTAGCAAGAGATTTAACCTTGCTCTAACTGTAAGCTAATACCCCCAAAGCTTAAATGCATACAAGAATGCATGTTGCCACAGATCAACATGCAGAGTATGTAATGACGAGGTCCTGGAAGGGAGAAAGTGATCCTGAAATTTAGTCAATGAGGCAAAACAGAGCGGCGTCTAACTCAAAACCCAAAGCTTTTGTTATGGAAATGTATCTCAGTGCTTTCAGTACATGGCGGTCTGCAAGGCCATGGCTTGAGAAGCATCCATCCAAAAAGCTTAAACGTGATACATGTCTGTTTTCTGTCTGACATGCAGATTTCATTGGCTTCTTCTGTTGCACATAAAGCTCACTATGTGCCTCATTTATTTAACCAAGCACAGCAGTGTAGAGGACTTTGTGGTTATATTCTACCTACTGATTCTCTGGACTGAAGCAATAAAGTGCTGTTTTGTTAGTGCCCAGATGCAAGTATAGAGTCATGCAGTCACAAATCTGCGAATCACGTGTAATTCTCAAGTCACGCAGCAAAGCAGAGTTAGAAGCATCTCTGCTTAGTCCTTTGATGGAGGTCTCTGCAGGTCATGGCTGACTGTAGTTGATTAAATGGCTACAGACATCTTTTTTTTTTTTTCTCGTGTGCTTTGAAATGTAGGATAAGCTGCTGGATGCTTCCACTGTATCCAACATGTACCGGCTGACTGCTCGGATCGGGTGTGTGATGACTGGTCACAGTGGTGAGAATCGCCGCTAGCGCTTTCATTTTGTGGAGACTGTAAACTACGGCACACTGTAAAAAGGGGCTAATAGACCAGTGTTTCCCAGTCCAGTCCATGGGGATCCACAGACAGTCCACGTTTTTGATCCCTCCAAGCTCCCAGTAGGACTGTCTGGAAGGGAGCTGGGAGGGAGCAAAAACATGGACTGGCTATTGGTCCCCAAGGACTGGATTGGGAAACACAGTAATAGACCGTTATTTTGGAGCCATTGTCATTGCTGATTTACAACAAAAGTAAATATTACAGGCTTAAATGGTCAGGACGTCAAAATAACGATTTGATAGTTTAAGACCAGATTTTGAATCAGACCCATCTAGCAGGTTGAAGTTCCTTACATTTTATTATAGAAATCACTGTGAATCAGTGTTGCGTATGTTTGATGTAGTTAAATGTTCTCATTTTCAAAATCGTTTATTTGATTTTAAAGAAAATAGAAATGGTTAATATGTTTTGCCAACGCTCAGATACAATCTTCGGGCGACACAGGTAGAAACATCGACATTACCAAGCCTGCTGACATGCTTCTCTACCCCCCCCCCAGCCGACAGCCGGTCCCAGGTGCACCGAGCGAGGATGGAGGCCGGGGAGTGGAAGTACAAGTTCGGTTATGACATCACGGCTGACATGCTGTGCCGACGCATGGCTGACATCTCTCAGGTGTACACGCAGAATGCCGAGATGAGGCCTCTGGGCTGCTGTGAGTGACAGGCCTGTCCCAACCGTGTCCCACCCCTCTCCTTCGTTCCCCCTTCATTCTGATCTCCAACATTGTGTCTCCTTCTACCGCCGCTTTACTCCTCACCTCAGCTGTTGTCTCTTAGCTTCTGTCCTTTACACCACTGGAACATGAAGGACAGTGTTGGGAAAGTTACTCACAAAAGTAATCCATTACAGAGAGAGGTGGAAAGTTCATATCCAGAAATTACAAATCCAGGCCAAGGTTTTGTTTCAACCAACCAGTTGAGTACTCTGTGACTGTGACTCTTTATACTCAACTTGTTGGTTGTAACAAAACCTTGGTCTGAATTTGTACTTTCTGGACCTGAACTTTCCACCTCTGTTTAATGGATTGCTTTTGTGAGTAACTTCTACAACACTGATGAAGCATGAAGTTGTTGAAACCACGCCAACTACCTGGCTGCCCCTCTCCTTTACCAGGTATGATCCTGATCGCCATGGATCCACAGCAGGGCCCAATGCTCTACAAATGCGATCCAGCCGGCTACTTTTGTGGGTTCCGAGCCACCGGTGTGGGCGCCAAGCAACATGAGGCGAATAGCTACTTGGAAAAGAAGCTGAAAAAGAAACCGGACTTATCCTACGAACGGAGTGTGGAGGTAACACGGTTTATCACCGACTACAAAAAGATCTGTTTGTGAATGAGCTATTTGTTGCTAAGTTCTACACAAACAATAAATGGATGTTACCTTGTATCACCTTAACCAATATTGTATCACTGCTGTGTTAAGATGGTTGTAAAAATTACGTCAATTGTCCTGATTGTATACTCGCTTGTCTTTAAAAAAGTATGAATTGTAGTCATGCTATACTACCTGTCCATGACTAACCCAGAGGTCTCTATATCTTGCATGTACATTGGCTACACTGTTGGGTCTATCCGTCTTTAGCTGGCCATCAGCTGCTTGTCCTCCATCTTGTCTCTGGATTTCAAAGCCTGCGAACTGGAGGTTGGTGTTGTAACCAAGGAGAACCCCAAATTCAGGTACTAATGTCGCTCAATTTGTCCCTGATCTAGTATTGCTTTTTAATTTTCCACAATGTACTGGATCTGATTGCCCTTACTTTCATTAGTTGCTTGGATAAGGAAGTGATTTAGATTTTTTTTTTTTAAATCTACTCTTCTCTGAAACGAACACAAGGCTTGAACTAAAGCATCACAACATATATTAACAAATGTTAAACAATATTATATTTGTAGTTCTAGTTACATTTCATTTTGCACAACCAAATGTTTTTGTGCGATCCTATAATAAATCGTAATTTCAGATTTCAAACATCTGCAGTAACCGTACTTTTTAACTTTAACTTAATATGATCTCAATGCGATATTACAGCATCAGTAATCTGGATATCAGATATAGTACTATAACAAGATCATTTTAACGTTTGATTATTTTAAGTTGATGCTACCTTTGTCCTTCAACAGAACACTGACGGAAGCCGAGATTGAAACACATTTGGTGGCCATTGCTGAGCGGGAATAACCAAACCCAAATACAAACAGAGAACCAGAATTCTGACTAGAGAACCGTAGCTAATTGTATCAGTGAACCCATTTTTTCACGCCACAACATCTTACAGAATAAAGCACCAACAGAATTTTTTGTCGACTCATTTTTTAGAAATTTGAAAGCGCTAAGTAATTTTAGCATGTGCTCTACCCTTCCCCACCTACACACACCAATAATTATTGTGGGTAGCCATTCACCTCCTCCATCGCCAACCTACACCAAGCGAAACTACCCTGTTCACTTGAATCCATCCACAGCCTGGCCAGGCCGCTGCCTGGCAATAGTCGGCAAAGGGCTTTTACAGCCTAACCAGACACTAATCCTTTGTGAATTTTCACCACAGACATCTAATCCAGCACTGAGGTCCCCCAGTGTAAGACACACTTTGCTTTGATTAATGGCCACTGGGGAAGCCGTCGCTGGCATTATTTAACTTGTACTAAATAATGAAATATCACTTTAAATCCTCAAGTTCAAATATGGCAGTAATAAAATAATAATAATCATAAATCAAAAGGCATCAGCTTCATGTTACTTCCTTCAGATGTGAATGCAGTCAACATCTTACATGCGATCCTCATATAGCTTCTGATACAGCGGATGACAACAAGTTGGGTTGCTAATAAAATCATTCAAGTATCATCTGTTGTACCAGTTCCATTGAAAATGTTAAATTCACCCCACCCTGGGTTGTTCCCCACCTTGCGCCTGTGGCCTCCGGAATAGGGTCCGGACCCCCCCTAACCCCGAGTAGGACAAGTGGTTACAGGATGGACGGATGGAAGTAAACTCACCATTGATGCCATTAGCTATTTGAGAAGGTACAAATAAACGATCACACCGGTACTACAGACACTGCGCAGTAATTTTACCTGGTACGTTTACTAAGCTTCAGCCAGCTTCAGGAGTATAGAAGAGAAAGTATTACTGTCGAAGTATCTCAGTGACAGAATATATTTAAAAAATGAAAATGTATGAAAAAGAAACTGCAAACTCCAGAGCTGTACAGGACTCCACGCCTGGACCTGCATGGAAGCAGTAATGACTGAATGTCATAACTAATCATATTTACATCAGCACAGTCAGACTGTAATGTACTCAGACAGCCAGCAGATTAAATACCCAGGAGGAGATAAGAGGTAGACATTTGAGAAACTTTAATGTTTAATTAACATTGTGAGTTGCTCATGGGAGTTTTACTTACACAAAAAAAAATGTTCTGAGGGCAAAACAAAAAATGAGTGGGTCCAGGCAACTAGAGGAGACGGGACCAACCAATCAGATGTATTGGTCCTACCTTCTTGTTGGTCCTACTCTGACTCTGAACACTAGTTAAACAAATGAACACAAGTTACATTTAATTCATTATAGAACAGGGTAAGCTCAAAAGAATACACAGACTCTGACATGAAATTTTCAATCATAAAAAAGACAATTACTGAAACTGGAAGAAATGACATAAAGAGCTGATCCATTTAAATGATTTATTAATTTTTGATCACGAAAAGCATCAATGTACAGGGAAAAGATCAAGCAGAGAATGACAGAAGCGATTCATTTTCATCCGGTCAATGTCCATCCTGCCAGTCATTACTATCTCAGGGGCAGTTGTAATCTAAAGATTAAAAAGCATATAGGCGGATGCAAAATTTATATTATGTCTTTCCCTTAATTCAATCAAATGACGCTGTGTAACCCTGTGATGTGAATTAGGTGTAAGTATTTGACTTGATTTTGTTCTTCCCTGCCAGGCCAAATCAACAGTCAGGATCTTCCAATCCTGGTGTTTGCGAATTGTGACCAATTGGGTGTAGTGGCTTGAGTTTCATCCAAGATCCAACTTAGTGAGAGGTATTTTTATTTACACAAAACACCAAATGTTTACACATCCCATATTAATAGCCAAATTCTCCAATGTTCAACTGTGCTAGAGAAGAAACTTTCTATCCACTTTGATTAAGATTAAAAATAACATTGGCCTTCAAACAAACCACTGCAAATTAATATTGGGCTTAAACATACCATTAAAACAAAACGTTTAACGATTTTTAACAACAACTGACAAGGAAACACAGATTTCTACAATCTTATGCTGTTTTTACAGGTGACACACACATAAACATCCAGACAAAGACAGAAAGAATCTGTGAACTAAGTCTATTCAGGTCAGCTTGAACAAAAAAGCCACAACAGGCCCCATGAAACCAGGATGAAGAGCCCAGGTGTAGGGTCACAAACCTTCACAGTTTTCAGCCTTCTCCATATTTACACCGTCTCGACCAATCATGGTGTTAGGTTCCGTTAAAAAAAAAAAATCCCGACTAAAACACCGAACAAGTTGCTTTGCTTTATTTTAATGCCAACAGGTAAAACATACATACAGCGTACGGCAACTCAGAAAGATGAGTTCTGTGTTAAAAAAGTGACAGCAAGCCTGACAAGAAGTTTAAAGCCTTGCAGAAGGATTGACCCTTTCAGAGGGTAACTCCAAAATACAGCGAGAACCCCAGCAGTTTCAGACAAAGAACGCGAAGCTAAGAAGTTCAGTATCGGTCAGAATGTGGTACGACGGTACTCAGGGAAGCGATGATAACCGGGTTACAGGTACCGAACACTAGTGTTGCTCCTGCCCCCTGGCAGTCCACAGGAAATCACCGCTCTGAAGATTCGGAAATGTGCCATGAAGCCAGAAAGCACTGAAAGTACTCAGACGCAACATCACAGACAGATGCGCGCTTCCGCGCACACACACACACACACTCACACACACACACACAGTAGCTCAGCCCTGACATGTAAGACTGCACTGAACAGCACAAGAGTATTAGCGAGATGCGTGGCTCTAAAGTGTTATGCATGGTTACAGCACCCGGTGGCCGTTGATGATCAAGTCATCAAACTCATCCTGCAAAAGAAGAGAAGGGGGATTATTATAACAGCACTCCAGCAGCTCCGACACAGAGCCACCAAGGAAACTGACGTTAATAAGACTCCATTCAACCTTCGTCTCATGTCTGCCCCCTGGTGTACACCCACATGTACTCTCACCTCTTCACTTTCCCGGTCCTCCTCGTCCTCATCCTCCCCGCCGTGCATCTCCGTGCCTCCTCCATCGCGCAGCAAAGCCTGCACCTCTGCATTAGGCCTGTGGAGGGCGCAGTAGAGTGGCGAGTGTCCTGCATATGATGGCTGGTCCACGGCTGCACCTGCTCGCAACAGCAGCCTCACCAAGGTGGGGCTCTGCGACTCTACGGCCCAGTGCAGCGGGGAGCGCCCAGAGCTTAGGTCCTAGGTGAGCAATGGATGAATGGAGATGGAAACCAGAATGAGTAAGTCCAAGACCATGGATGCACAACCAGGGTCCAAGCAACAACTCTTAGAACAAATAAATCTAATGAATATAATAAATAAATGTATGTATGGAGGAAATTGTTCCAGACCCTGTGTTGAAAAATAACAATGCAACTGACCCTCTGGTTGACATCAGCTCCTCCTTCCAGCAACATTTGAACGATCTCCTCGTTGCCCTTCTGCACCGCCAGATGCAGGGCACTCACCCCTAAATGCCAGAGAGACTAGAGAAGTAAGAAACCAGGAAACGAGGAGTACAGGTCGAAAGACTGGTGGTGCTGTGATCGGCACATACCCGAGTAGTTGATGATGCGCAGGTGGTCCGGACGGATGCCACTGCAGGTGAGCTCCCGCACGCAGGCCATGCGGCTCTCGCGCACGGCCAGGTGCAGTGGCGTGTTGCCCCCGCGCTCCTGGATCTCAGCGCTCGCGCCACCCCAAAGCAGAGCCTTCACGCAGTCGGGCTGGTCGACGATCACGGCCAGGTGGAGCGCCGTCTAGCGGTAGGAGAGGTCACAGTCCGATGTAAGCGGTAAGCAGGAAGGAGATATTTTAAAAAAATGTAAAACGGCTTGCAAACAGAGATATTAAATGGAGAACAATTGGAGGAGGGGGGGTTTACTTACTTTTTTGCGTAAGTAAACTCCCTGCTCAGAGAGTTGCATGATGACAGCTATTCCGTACGCAAACGACAGCTGCTCTGATAGCCGCGATTTAATTTACCAAGGGAAATCCAAACAGGTAGCTGAGATTATTTTTTGTGTATTAGGCAAACTCGAGTCTAAAAATCACACATGTAACCCACCTGGCCCAGGTCGTTCTGGATGTCCAAATAGGGGGTCCAGTTCTGGTCCAGGGTTATCACTCCCACCAAATAGTGCACAAAGGTCAAGTGTTCGTGAATTAAAGCCAGGTGGAGTGCACTACAAAAAAAGTCAAATAATTTCATTAAACATTTAACTCGAACCCACGTTTTTGCACCACAAATGCAATCGAACCAGGTTGCACTGATCATTTTTTACTCACGTGTCTCCGTCCTCTGACACAAAGTTCAGGGTGTTGAACACCTCTTCGGGGGGGTATGCCTCCACCTGTCCCCCGATAACCTCCCCAGATCTGTCCCCGGAGACACTGTCGGGCTCGCTTAGCTGTATGGTCCCGATGCCTTGGGAAATGCAGCCCAGCATCTCGTCCGTTATCGAGTGCCCGAGGGCCGAGTCGAGTCTTTCCCCGTTCCCCAGGGAGATACAGCTGTCGGTGGGCTCATGTTCCGAGTCTGTCTTCCTTGAGCAAATATCAAACGGGGTAGATTTCAAAGTCGGAGGATGTTCGCTTTCGGTGCAGAATGGGGTCTCCAGGCTCAGCGCTCCATTTAAACACTCCAAGCCGCTGTCGCACCAGTCCTCTGCACCGACTCCATCGGAACCGACTTGTTTACCGAACCCATAGCTGTTAAGGGGCCGCGCAGGCTGGTTCCCATTATCCGACTGGGTTTGTGAGCGAACGACTTGCGATTGTATCCCCTCCATCTGGACGCAAAAATGAGCTTTAAAATATCAACAATAATCTCGGCTATCCAGAATTTGCTAGCACCGAGCTAGCGATGTTTATGTCCTTTTAAGGGCGCAGAGCCCCCCTAATTTTGCAGAGCAAAATGAGAATAACTAGCCGATAATCCCTCTCACGGCTAGAGCATAGTACACTTAAATTTAAGATTCATGTTCGGTATGTCGTATATTTTCCCCATTGAAGAAAAAAATGGCTTCTATTTTCAGTTTTACTGACCAAAGGTGTTTTTAACAGTCCTGGGAAATTCCCGAGCACCCCGCAAGCTAAAAACACACTAACCTTCCACTCCGGAAGTTTATTAAGTCAAGTCGCAAAGCACGCTGGGTTATGGTGTTTCTTTGTAGGAGTCTACGGTACCCAAGCACGTACCGTATAGGAAGAAATATTAGAATTTCTGATTATTTAAAAATACGTGAGCTATTATTCAAACACATGTTTAATGTTATTAATTACATTTTCATTCTGCCTTAAAAAAATCTTACAATTACTAACTAAATGGCGATTTCGCCTCCTATAAGTGTAACTATAAATTATTTATTTGAGAAAATTCGGAATTTTCAGAACAAAAGGCCTTAAACACGACTTTTTAAAATTAAAAATAGTAGTTTCTATGTTAAAAAGCACGAATAAATCATAGCTGTGTGTAGTAATATTTACATACACTAGGCGGTGCAAACCGTCCATTGTAAATACTGCGTACATTTTCTTCTTCCACGTCAGTTACGGCACTTTGCTTTTGCTTTAATTGTTTGAAACACATGTCCTTTTATTTTAATGGCCACTACCCAGGCGAATATGACCAGACGCAAATAATATTTTATACATAATTTCAGTCAATTAGTCTCAGTCAATGAATTTCAATGCAAGGTACTTCTACAGTAGATGTTGCAGGACTACAGTGTATTTTTAATATTCTATTCACATACACAGTCCTGTGTACCTGTTGTTTGAATGTAGGCACATTTTTAAAACAACGCTAGCAATTACAGGTATTTTGTTGTACACTGAAGAAATGGCCACCAGTCAGACTTCTATAGCAGACAGTAGAACCAATATATTCATTACCTAGATACATACCTTTGATTATGAAGAATATAAAATTGAATATATGGGAATGGAAAGAAATGCATAAATGATCAAAGACTGATACATAAAAAAAACTGGATTGAACAAATATGAAATGATAAACACTTATACAAAAGTAAAAAGTCATAATAATAGAATCAGATATAAGAGAGTCAGATTATATAATGCATTACTCTTAATTCTGTGTTCCAAAAAGTGCCATTTTGCAAAATTACTCGAAAAAAAACTTCATTTATTTGAAATGAGCAAAATAGCACCACTAGAAATGAATAAGAATGTTTCACAGTCAGGAAAGGCTATAATATGGGTACAAATTGCCTTTTGAAAGAACAAAGGCGGCAAAGATGGTTGGTATAATGTGCTGAATGCGCCCTGCATGTTCCTCATCAACCACTCTTTGTCCTTACTGTGATTGTACGTACATGTGCCTCATGGCTGCGTAGCTGACATTCTGGGCCTCCTAAATAAAGAGGCAAATAGGGAAATAAGTATAGAGTACAATGTAACGATACACATTAGTGACAGAGAGAGATGCAAGAATATGATTGGTTATAAGATTCCAAAGGGCGGGCTTAGTAAATAGGATCTTTAAAAATTGAATGCTATTGGCTGGTTTTCCCTTCAGTGCCAGAAATCACGTTCCTGGATGGGTGAGAAGGAAAAACTCCAGCCTAATGGACAACATGTCAGTCTTTGGGAAAAAGGGCTCACAAAGCCCTGTCTCAAGCATGCCATAAGTCCTGGCGCACACCACGCACATACAGTACTGAAGAATGGCATCAACTAGATGTCAGGGGCATTTAGGAAAATAGATTAGCCTTGCATTTAATTTACTGGTTCATTGGGGCACAGTATTGATTAGCTGGAGGGTTAGGGTCACAGGAATTGCTGACGGGAAATAAAAATCTGTGGCAAAAGCCTGGGAGATGTTTTTTTTTCTCATCATACAATGAGTCAGTGCAGCAAAGCATGAAGAACAACGGAGGGGATAATCAGAAGGTGAATGGGCGTGTGCTTCAGGACCGAGTCTTCTGGGAAAATGGGGAGTGGGGGGCCAAGCTGGCCTGTGTCATTCTATGTAAGCAAGGTCAGTCTTTGTTGGGTTGTGAAGACACACCACTGATTAGCATCCAACAGCTCAATGTCGCGGCCTCAGCCAGCGTAGCCAGTGAAAGCTTCCTCCATTCCCTTCTCCCTTTTTAAATCCATCCATCCATCCATCCATCCAAGCAAGTTCACAAAAACCAAGGATGACGGCAGTTCGATATCAGCATTGCCAAAGTTATGTTCTGTAAAATAACTAGCATTTTCAGTCATGGTTGAAGCATTTCATTTTCCAGTTACAGATAATGAGCTCCGCAATTTCAAATGTGACCACTACTCAGTGCAAAATACAGCCCAATGTTAATATCACAGGCATATTGCGTGCTAATGCATTTTATAAGTCTGTTACATCATAACATAGACACCCATAACATGTATATATCTTTCCTCAAAAGGTATAGGGTATTTTGTACAGTATTAAACCTATATGTTACACCCAATATGTGAGTCATGTACTGGACAAGAGGTTGGAAGATGGATGGATCCATTTATCAAGTCATGAATTAAATTTAATTATACTGATTAAACAGTTTTTGTGTTAAGCATGGTTTAAACAGACTGTACCAAGCGTTCACACATCCATATTGTGTTGACAGTGCTTCAGCTATACGTGTAAGACGTCTTTTATAGCCCTTGCTGAAAAAGACGAACGAACGAGCTTAATCTTCAAGCCAGCTGGCCGTATTTAATGTTATCAGCGAAGCAGTCTTTGCCCCATAAGCAAATCAAAATTGATTGAATTCAAGGACTCTTCACCAGATATTGCTATCGGTCACCTTTTCCTGTTTCCAAAATGAATTTTTCACATGCGTATCTTAGTGTAAAGACTTTTGTCAATGGGGAGGGATGGTGCAGGCGCACCACTGAGTAGCATCCAGCAGAACCTAGGAGGTTTGCTCTGGAGATCGGGGTGCAAAGCAGCGCCACATGTTTCTGCTTTAGCTTCGCATCTTTGTCTAACACCTTGGCTTCTGCTCCAGCACCATGCAGCATGAACACTGGCCCCCCGAGGGCTTCCATTCCTGCTGCTTCTTTTACCCATTAACCTCCAGTAAGGGTAGGAATAAAAAAAATAAAAGCTACTTACTTACGACAAGCTAACAGTATTCTCAGGATTCAAGTGCAGAAGCAGGATTACATTTACATTTAATCAGATGACAAATTTAACATTCGCAGCCGGCGCTGAATGCTCATCTCAATGTGCGTTCTCCAAATTTAGAGTTATACGCTATATTAAGTGCATTAGGTGTACTAAGGATATTAGGCAGGCCGACCTCACCAAGGAATGAAGGGAAAAAGAATGAACTAATTCCAGGTGCTTCCGCGTTAATGGTCCAGGGAGACGAGATTACCTCAAAGTGTTATCAACTCGGTGCCAGGCTGGTTTATCTGTGGCTCCCGGTATTTTATACGTCGACAGGCTGTGTTGAACTTGCTTGGAGCCCGGGGCGGGTGGAGGTAACATCACAGGCCTAAAATGATGACTCTGTGAGTCGTGCCCTAGCAGTGGTGTGCATCCACCTCATCGTCCTCTGGGCCCGAGGGCCAGTTGGGGAGATGCAGGTGGGACTTACTCTCCATTGCGATAAGCTGAGTGAATAACATATAAAGGTTAACACTCACTTTCTATTTCAATACCTGTTCAGGCCAATCTTTGGCATGCGAGAGGGTCCTATAAGAAAACAACAAGAATAGCCCCAGAGCAACTGCAATGCTGTGCTATTCATTTGGGAATGAATCACACTGATACCATATAACTGAAATATGCATAGGTGCTCTTTGCCCTTTTCTCTATATATAGACTGTACCCTGTGATTGCCAGTGGTTTGATTTAGTCCGATGTCTGGAGCAATAAGACACCCCCGAAATGCCAGAGAAGATGAGTGTGCGAGATATATATGCTTCTCTGTGTTTACAGTTGGATATCTCTAAATATCAGCTTGCTGATGTCATTATAAAATAATGCTAAGCTGCAGAGAACATTTCCCAGCACGGTGAAGCATGACCTAATGAGCAAGTTAATGTACCGAAACGGTCTATGTCTGTTTTCTCATTGCTTGCATTGCAAAGCACCTTCTTCTTGCACCTATAGTTAGCTGTTTAGCTGATGTTTAATCTAAAGCGGTATACATTTTTTCTTACTCTGATGGATGTTACTGGAACATCTGAGGTTTCGTATCTTGCACGAGGGTGTCCTCGTGCAAGCCTGTCCTTGCACTTGAACTTTCACCGTGTCTTTCCGGTGGCAAATTCGGCCGCCGTTCCTTGCTCCCATTTCAAAGTAATTTCTCTAAAATACTTCTAACTGCAGACTGCAGCAACTACAAAGCCGACGTAATGACTGCGGCTCGCTCAAGAAACCCTGCAGCCCCATTCAAACACTCAGCACTCATATTCCCTCCAGTGACCTCATCTTCAGTCCTTTAATGGGTGCAGTGGGTGGTCGGCAAGCGATTTAGCCGTTTTAATTACGGAGTCGAAGTTATTCACGACAGTCGAGGATAAGATGCTGGGCGACAGTTAATAGGCATTAAGAAGAAGATAAATGTTCTAGAGGTTGTTAAAAAAAAGGTGTAGAGGGATATTTAAGAGCAGGGTGGTTGAGGACTATCTGATGGTGGCCATTTATGCCATTTCAGGACAATTATGCAGTGGCACGGGGTCTGTCCATCTGCCCGTCCATTTCGCAGGATCGCTTATTCAGAAAAGGGTTGCATTTTGTCTGCAGCTTATTGCAGGAAGCACAGGACACAAGGGCAGAAGGAGCAACCTGGACAGACGGCCAGTGACATTACAGCCATGCGTGCCGCGTTCCTCACTTGGACATCGTTTTGGACAAAAGCCTTTGCTAAACACGGCCCCCTCCTACGGTCCCCTGATAAGAGACATTCTTTCTTTCATGAAACTGGGAAAAATACAATGAGGGGCTCTACTCACAAATTTGATAAAATATAGGACTCTGACTATAGAGAGAAATTGCAGCTCATAACCATATCTCACTGCAACTAGGGCACCTTCAATTCAGAGATGAGAAGAATGTAGCCATTGTATCAATATTCTTGTTGGAAAGCAGACTTTTTTTTCCTTATAATAATTAA